TATGGATAAAGGTGCACAAAATTATCTGCCGGAATGAGGCTTAAAAAAGTGCTTTGACTGAAAAAAACAGTGGGTTGCCTGGGAAATCAAACCAATTTGCTCAACACACTTACTTTTATTTTAGTCTGGTGTTACTGATATCCGATTATATGAAAACATGTTTTTACTGTGGCAAGAAGAGGGTTAATCAGCCGGCCTCCACAGTACTGATCCACCTAACAACCATACCAAGTTTCGGCCTCCTTCCTCACATCTTTGTGCTGTTCAGGCTGTAGACCAGCTGTGTGCAGAGATAACAACTGAGGAATTGAGGGGCTCAGATATGCAGCCAAGAAGCTAGTAAACCAATGAAACATTTAGCCGCAGTCTGATGCTGCTCTCCCATTCAGTAAAGACTCCGCTAAGCCCCTCATTTGGAACGGTAGCCAGATGGGCTCAGGGCCAACAGCATGCCAATATGATATAAGCTGACTTAGTTATATAATTATAAGTATCTACGTGAGCAAAATGCAAGGAGGTCATAAAAGAGTTTTCAGACCATAAAGGAACACATTTTCATTTAAAATGAAAATTTCACAACTAAAACGAAACCGAAATAAAAAAATGTTAGGCCGAAAAATCGAGCATTATGCTAAAAGTGCAATTTTTGGCGGCCGATATATCAGTGCATCCTTAAACGAAAGGAGTTGTTCTATACAGATCTCATTAAACATCTAGCAAATCTAAAAATACAAGTGACACTGCCAACATGAAAATATTTGTGTTTAGGTAAACTGGTTTTAAGGAATCTACTCACAATCTAAGCTCAATTTATCAATCACTCAACTAAGCTGTCTAATGTTATTTAGCAGCCATCCAGAATATTATACTCCTTCCCTCATACTTTTTCTCAGGACAGAACTGAGTCAAGAAGACTCACAAATGTCTTTATTGGGTCTACATTCCCCAAAATAAAATGTTATAAAGCTAAAATCCAGGCATAAAAACAAATTTGCATTAATTCCTCAACAGCCGAAAATGCACCAAATATTACCTTGTATGGCAGCACAGTGATGTAGTGGTTACAACTCCTGCCTTGCAGCACTGGGGGTCCCTGTGCTTTCATGGATTTCCTCCAGGTACTCCAGTTTCCTCCCAAAGACATGCTGGAAGGTTAATTGGCTCCCGTCTAAAAATTGGCCCTCATATGAATGAATGTGTGGTAGGGATCTTATATTCTAAGCTCCGTGAGGGAAGGGACTGATGTGAATGTGCACTGCATACATTTTCTGCACTATATAAACACCTGTAACAAATGTAGCAGTGACATAATTACTAGGCTGAACATAACCCGTGCATATAGCAGAGCCACAGGCTGCCTGCAGACAACTACAGGAGGGGGAAGAACTAGGGGGACCAGTCACCCCATACTAGAGACCCCACAGAGACTGGTCTTCATACAGGAAACCTCTGCACAGAGGCAAAGTTTCACATTGGGTTACTGCACGGATCTGGAAGAAAGACACAGATTCTAGTAAGAATACACGTCTTTTGGATTTAGACAATAGATGTCTAGCCTGGAGTTCAGCTTTAACATAAGTAATGTGTGACATATATGTTGTGCACACACAGTTAAAGCTTGTTATGCTCTAAACCAGCTACTGTATATGCAATACAGCAACATAGTATCTATCTATAATATCTAAGCAACCCCATTCACTAGTGTACAACTCAATTAACTAAACTTCTGAACTGCTGATAGACTATGTAAATCACAGGCATAAAGTATGCTTTTAATGTACACTTCACATCCCCAGAACATTAGCGCATATCTAAAGCCAAAAGGTTTATTCCACTGGCCGGTTCAGTTATGCTGTACATTACATTAAGTTCACACGGCACCGTTAGCTTTATACTATACACTGCTTGGCTGTATATACTCAACACTGCTCCATTCTATACACTGTTCTGTATAATTTATCATCCACATTGCAATGCTGTATACACCATGCTGTATAGTTAATTAGTGCCATGGTCAATACTATGCTCTATGCAAAATACTTTGTAATATTCTCCATACTACCGCTCTGCATACACAGTGTGGTACATAATATACTCTATACTGCTCCACTTCATAAACCGAGTTGTACATTATATTATCTGGAGCGAGTCTTGAAAAATACCCAGTAATGGCTCCAGGGGTGCGTAGGTGTGCTAAACCACCCCCCAAAATTATTCTAGAACCCCCATAAGCAGCTTCTATAGTATGAGTCTGCATTACAGTTATACTTGATAAGGATGTCACCAGCACACCAAAGTAATGTCCATTTATTTAGCAAATGTTGTCACTCAGACTGATTTTTTCTCAACCCCTTCAATATAGGAGGCTTGCATAGCACACCATATTTTTCTTTTCAATTCCTTCAAGGTGTCACTCCTATTTTTCAAATATCAGCAATTATGGTTTATTTTTATGCCCATTGACATCAGTTGTAGAAATGATTTTTGCACTTGCTGACCAGCAAAGTAAAGGACACTGCTACATACTTTTGATCTCTGCTTTATGACTATGCATTTCTCATGTTATGTCTGCTTTTATTATAACAAAGAATTCAGAGCCAGGGATTTAGCTCCCCCATTTATACTCCCAGCACCACCACAGCTGCTCCCCAAAAAATGTATGGAGCCACCTGTTGGAATGTACATTTTCATGTACTAAAACTGCCGAACATCTATCTTAAAATATTGATTCAATGGGTCATCAAAGAAAACAGCTGTGTTTTAGAAGTGCCGGAGGCCATGGTATTCATCCCCGCAGGAGGCATGGGAAAGGAAGTGATAAAGGTGAGATTCAATCACCTGGACAGGACGTCACGCATTGCACCCCGTGGTGTTTATGGGGGTTATATGCGCATTGGGAAGACACCCTCAAAATATCCTGCATTGCATATGAAGGTGGCTGTCCATTATCTAAGGATCAAAGGACAAGGTGTTGACCTAGGCCGAGGACTGACCTGCAGTACGATGGTGCCCCCTGTTGGAGGACTTCAGTGCATGCTGACAAATATGAACGAAGATGTGGATTGGCCGAAAAACCTATAAGGGACATATGGAATTCTGGGTAAAAGGGGTGTCGATGTATGTGTATGAATGGGTCCTGTCTATTATAAAAGCCAGTGCTCAGCCATATTGCTCTCTCTCGCCCAGCCAAGACATAGAACCAGAGGACGGACTTGCTACGCAAAGTATTCTTTTTTTTGTCTTATTGTACTTTTGTATCCGTTTTATCTTTTCTATGCAATTTATATTTCTGTATAAATAAATAAGACCATTGCTTCTTTTAACCATTGTATTGTTATCATCATTGGAAGCAGAGAATAGCAAGTTAGCTTATTTCAGGAAGTTTAAAGTCAATTTAGATATAACACCGCCACTGAACCCACCATGCTCTAAAATCCACATCCCCTTTCAATGCCCTGCCAGCAACCTTACAGCACTGAACACAAGAAATAGTAATCCGTTATGGCATTTTGGTGACAAGATTCTGTTTAGGGTATATTGTAGAATGTGTACATGAGCTTTAACCCTGACACTGAGATGATCTCAGCACACACACTAGTGAATTGCTTGAACATTCCCAAAATGAATCATCTCTGCATCGGACTGTTCACAACATGTAACCACATACATCATGCAAACATTCAACAAATGTCTTGAAGCTAGTTGTAAGCAATGTAACCATTATTTAACATCTATGGATCCATTCTCACCAGCTGAGCTATGTTTGGGACAACAGCTATATTTATTTCTCCAATTATAATGACAGCATCAGCACAGACAATATACATGTGTTAGCTAAAAAATAAATCTCTGCCCAGAAACACCATTTTGGTTTCCATATAGAAACACTTATCTAGCGCTGTTGTTCATGACTAATTGTAATATGAAGGGATCTCTGAAAAGGTCACCATTTTTGAAAATTAAAAGAATAACTTAATAAATTAAAACAAATTATTACTCTCAAAACCCAGAGATTTTAAAGAAAACAATCTCTTTTCATACATATAAAAAAGCCTGTCTATCTTATTAAATATTTAAGAACAGGTAAACGGAGCCTTTCATATTTTGCTGCATAAAACAGATGACTGAAAGTCTAATATTTGTACTGAAATGAGAATGTACCCTTGTGCTAATCCATCTGCTTTCTGGATTAAGGTACTTATTATTTGGAAATGGGCAAAGCCATCTATCTGGCAAAGGAATTAAAACGCTTCTAATTAAACTGTGGAGTCACTGTCTTGAATAAATTGCTGGAGTATGCGCAAGCAGATGTATGTTGTATTTCTCTGACTTGAGAATAACTCCTCGGAAAAGCAGAGGCATGTGATTGAGTTGGAGGAAAAAAAAAAACAGTCCATCTAAGAACCGGATTTGAACTTATTGTAGATGAATGTTCTACACTGTCCAGAAACAAAAGCTGCTGATGACCTACTTTACAACTCTGCTTAGGCTGGGACATGTTTTTTTTTTCCAACAGATTATACGCTGCTTGTAGAAGCTGTGCTTAATTGTGAAAAGCCTAAAGGCAGGAACAAACTAAAGTTAAAGCAGCAAGTGTTGGGGAAAACTGAGAAAAAAAAGTTAAATAGCATAAAAATGTTAAAAGAATTGGTGAAGGATAAGCAGGGCCCAATAACCAGTATAGCCTTCGCCGCCCCCCCATCCGGCAATGACTGCATACTTACTTATGATGCCTTTATTTATCAGGCTAGATATAATCTACAAATACCATATAAATGTACATGTTCCTAATATGCCAAAGATGATAGTATACACTGATCAGTAGTGGTATGACTGGACTTTGTGAGTACTGAGGCTAGGTGCATGGCACTGGATGGCCAAGGAAGTACTTTCGAGAGACAAGGCCGTCCTGTATCTATCATAAGCTAACTACACTCATTCAATTAGAAAAACAACCTACTAAAACACTGTTTTACGAATGATGGACATGCAAGCATTACCTTCTTCCGCAATCACTGTCAGGGTGACAGTGTTTCCAGCATCCTTTATAAGCTGTACAATGTTATCATGGGACAGCTCCACAATTGACTGGCAATTAACAGCTGAGATCCTGTCTCCAACTTTCAGCTTTCTGCATCGGTCAGCAGGACTACCTTCAATTACACGTCCAATTTTGTGAGGAATAACTGCAAAAACAAAGAAGAGGGTTCACATAATCTTGGCTACATCAACTTTCTAGGTCTAGATCATCAATTTCCACCTGAACATAGTACTCCGACTAAGTGCAAACCATGTACTCTATGTATAGAGAGGCAGGAGCTGCTTGCTTTCTATAGTAAACAGAAACATGCAGCAGCAGCAAACCATATCTTAGAAGTAGCAATTGTGGTTTGGTTGCTTTCATAAGTAGTCCACATGAACTGAGTTACATTCACCATCATATAAATGCAGAACAGGCAAAACTGCAAGGATAGCTTATTTTTTAATAAACATTTGAAGTTTTGGTTTGAAAATAATAAGGTAGTAACAAATATATAAGCTTAACCATTGCATTTCAGAACAGTTCAACCAGGCCAGCCATAGACCCACAGCCATTCATGAAAACAACAAGCACAATCTTTAGCTCTTGAAGGTTTTTGTACACGTTCCTGTGTACTATTTACAGCCCTTAGAGTGGTATGAATGGTAACTTGAGATAGGCTCTTGTAGTTGCTAAAAGATCTAGAGCGTTTAGATCAGAAGAAGATGCTGCTAGGCACGAGTAGGAATATGAGTGCATGCGGCTGGGGCTGGTAGCTAGTGTATACAGGTTGCATCACTTAGGATAAAACAAATACTGTAGGTTCGATGGTCAGAGGGACAAAATTTGCCGGAAAAGTAGTTCCATCCAGGGAGTCCAAATGCTTTCAAATCTGTAGGTTATGGATTGTTCCCAATTTTTAGGTTATTAAATACCATAACATTTTTTGTTTTACATGTACAATCTTGGGAGTTGAGGACCACCATGCCTTGGCAAGTACCTGTTTGGCAGCAGTGAACAGGAATGTCAGGTGGCTAAATTAAGTGTTTGTACATGTTTTAGGTTTTAGATTCAACAAAGCCCCCTTCAGGGATATACAGTAGCCCATTACTTTCTGAACTTGTAACACTTCCAGAATATTTGTAAATTTGCATCATAGACGTCATTTGAAATTTACATCATTTGAAACATAGACTAGAGTTGATGGGTGTGAATTTTACCAAGTATTGTGTAAGATGTTGACATGATTAAGAAGGGATATAGCATGGTGCTTAGGCAATGGCTAAAGTCTTTGACCTGGTTCATGGGAGGGTCTTTGGCCATGTCACTTAAGGTGGGTATTTGTAGGATAGGATGCAAGTCCATTTCTACACTGCAGTGTGGACCATCTCATTTAACACCACACTCTGGGCAGAATGATAATTTACACACTGCACTAGAGGCATGTGATCATTAAAAAGCTGGGTGTTATATTCAGAGTGCAGCTGCATAGTAGAAAAATCTTACTTTGCAGCACATAATCCCCTGCACAGAGCACACAGCTTCCAGGCGCAGAAGAGAGGGAGCGATGTGACCTGAGCTATAGAGCCCTCTGTTAGTATGACCTGCCCCCTCCTCACTATCCTTCCCTTACAAAAGGTTTTTTTTTTTTTTTTTTTTTAAATACAAGACATTCTGTGATTGAAGGAGGAGAGATGATGTCACATCCCTGCCCCCTTGTCTTCAGTGCCTGGAAGCTGAGGGTTCTGTGCACGGGAAGGCATGGTAGCCAAAGACCCCCAAAGGTTTCAGTGTCTGAACAACACACAAAGGGTTTCAGCATATATAACAATTATTGCCTGTGAAGCAGGTTTAATGGAGCCCACTATTAGGTCCAGTTACACTGAGGCGCCGGTCTAGGGTCAGGTCAAAAAATATGGTAACTCCCTCAGGTACATCTAGGAAATTCTGAGGTTTCAGGGGCCCTGCTATAGTCTGCTAGGATAAATAGCTTACCTCCAATTAGCAGGTTAAAGCCATGTGACAGTGTGGGTTCCAGAAAGTCCTATTAAATTATTTTTTCTTGGCTATTCCATTCATGTAAACCATGTATGTTGTGCCTGTGGGCTATCCCAGGGGAGTGAGGTGATTTTGAAGGAATTCAGCAACTAAGCCTCCTGTAATGATCTATTGTCGATAGCTGGGCAAGGTCTTAGTGCATGTATGGTTTTATGAAAGCTGGAAACATGTATTTTGCAAACAGCTTTAATAATGAGTATACTGGGAAGGGAAAATACTGGTAACTATAAAAACCATACCTTGGACGAGTCATATACCAGGCTCCTCCTCCATTTGCAGAAAGCCTTGCATTTTGTGAAAAAACTAAAATGCTTTTTGTGAACGGTCAAAGGGAGAGGAGAAGGCAGGTATACAAGTGGACACCTTCACACTTGCACCCACTGTTCCCATCTCTGCAGTGCTGGAAATACAGTGCTCTGTGTAGTATCCAGCTTCAAACAAGGTATGATTTTTACAGTAAGAAGTAATCCACACCTATTATTTATTAGAGCTAACCTACTTGCTGTTAGCAAAATACATTGTTTCCGCAGAGTTCAGACTTAAAGTGTATAAAACCCTAACAATTAACTTCTCTTTTTGGTCCCTTTTGGTCTACTATACAATTGAAGTGTTTTCTGATATATGTTTGAGAAGTGCAAAAAAAAAAGAAACCTATAGTTGATCTTGTCAGCAGTTAGAGCTGCCCTGAGTCCTGTGCTATCTCAAAGAGGCTATTTAGCAGTTCTCATCATGGACTACAGAATGATTAGCCTTTATGTAGTAGTGATCTGAGAGTAGGAGTGGTTGAGCAGTTTAGAAAAAGACACTGGAAGAGCTGACATCACTCAGAGCCGAGTGCATTTCTGGAAGATCAATAGGTATTTTTTTGTACTTGCAGAGTCTTTAAAAGGGATAAAGTATGGGAGAATGTGCATGCATTGAAATATGTACTGCATTTTTTTTAAAATTTATTTTAACATATATTTTCGCTCTCACTGAAATTAACGAGCAGTATACAGAGATATTCAGGAAACAAGACGTGTCCCAATGATTTCTGCATAATATTCACATTAAACCTTTGTCTACACTAGAGCCTTCCCCCAACAGGGTTCCCTGAACTCTGCATGCAGCGATGCCCGCTTATTGTCTCGCAACTCATAACAAATGGAACATAGCTGCAAACCGAATGCCTGTATCAACAAATATTTACTGATGTGCAATTTCAATGTGAAGATATGGAATATAATTAGAGCACACAAAAAAAATAAACAGAGCGAGGGGGCAACAAAACTGCAAAATCCCCCAGAATAGCTGAGCCTGAAAAATCTACCAGGCAACTGGAGAAGGAACAAAGTACTATACACCAGAACTAGAGACTTCTTCCAGTTTTTGTTTTTTTAAATAATGCCGACGTTGCTTTCTTCTCATCCTAATAGATACAAGTACTAATTTTAACAGTTGCTGAGTAGATGTATTACCTTTAGCACTTCAAAGAACAAGAAAACACCATGTTATATATAGAAAGAAATATCATCGTAATGCATGACTGGGCAATCAAGAGAACAGATCTTCCTGTAAAAATAGGCCATTCTAATAGCACTGTGCCTTTACACAACATTAATATTCAGGCAGATTGCTGGATTGTGAGCTAATTGACTCGTGTTCCTGTATGCCTGCATGTCTCTCTCAGTACTGTGAGGTATTCTTAATGTACGCAACATCTGTTTGAACACATTAAATATGGACGATGAAGGAGAACGCATAGCAGCACTGGATTTTTTTTTTTTTTTTAAGTCAGCCAGGTGGATTTGAGTCAGAAAAACAACCTCTACGCTAACAATGTTTACATACATGAGCTAAGAAGCAGGGTGCAGTGTTGGTTTGTTACAAAGCTAACACTTGCAATGCATAACCATACAATGTATAATTTATGTTCAATGTAACCATAATTAACAGTAAAAGAAATGTGATGGGGCTATGGTTTAGGATTGGCTTTAGCAGCCAGAGGAGTTTAGCTACATCTCATTCACTCATCAATCTGCTGTGGCTGCCTCCACAAATCTCAATCCCCAGGAGGCCTCTGTTATGATGAAGCCAGAGGTCATGCCTTTAAAAGGCTAACTGTACTTTAAAAACATTCAGTTTTTATATATCCAGGAAAAAAACATCTTTGCAAATATAAACTCTAGTCTCTGCCTTTTGTTTCTCCATGCTTTAATAGCTGTAATCATGGACCCAGGTCGGTGCAGGCCTTTGTTTATATTCACCAGTCTACAGTGTACAAAAGTTAACAAGGCTGCAGACCTGAAGTGATATCATGGAGGGCTTAGAGGATCCCATGAGAATCACATGAGTTGGAGTGCTGTGCAGTACAGAAAACACAATTTATGGCTCCCCATAGCAAAGATATTGAACCAAACAGGTATGTGGACCAGGTGGCTTTCTTATTGTTTTCATTCCTGCCTTGAAATCATGTTGTTTTCTACACAGTACAGTGCAAACTACATACAAAATCAAAAGAAGTATTTATATTGACCTAAACTGGTGATAATTCTCAAAACACAGCAGAGAGAGTGGTAAAATCTTGTGTATACAAAGTTGTTTTGTTTTACGATATTGTAAATGAATAAATGTGGTTAAAAGCTACAGTTATCCTTTAAACATGTTTTTTTCATCCACAGCATGCTGCAAGACTTGATAATGCAGAGGTTGTTGAAAACACTAATCTGTAAATCAGGTCAGGTCAGGCGAAGAACACTGACACTACTTCTACTTACTGCACTTTACACCTCTCATCATAGCTCTTTGCCCTTAGTTAGTGAATAAACCCAAAGGACACATGGCAAATTCTCTCACCTCCTGGAGGGGGCTTGTTTTTGGAAGTCAGAATGACAAACCCAAAACCTTCATTTTCTTTCCGTTGTAAGACAACATCATATGCCTCTGGTGCCTTTGGAGCTGCAGATACTTCAATGCGATTGAGCTTTGGAGAGCCATTAGGTTCAGGGGCAGTATGCTGCGGGTCCTCCTCCTCTTGCCCTTTGTCTGAAATTTCCACAAAAAGAACAATAAGTGCTTTCAAAAAGACATGAAAACACTAACTAGATAAATGAACAACCAAATTTTAATTTAAAAACCTTATATATAGGCCTATAGGCGTTAAACAGTACATATTTAACACCTTACCACAAAATGATGAGTAAACAAATCTTTAGTACCTCGTTTTCATCCAACTATACAAAGTGGACAGCTGGGCATGGTGCATGGACAGACAAGCATGACACAAAGTATTTTTACATAGCTTCAGTAGCCCAGCATGCAGATGACTGTGAGAAACATTTAGGTTGAGTATGGTCTATCTGGCACTGGGCAACTCTATTGTGTTGCAATACAGCCATAGTCCATCTCATAGGGAAGAACACTACTCTGGATACCTTCTACATTACACTTGTCACATGCTGCTACAACACAAATGCAAAAGGCTACCACAGCAGCATTATATTCTGTGTTTCAGTGTGCAGAGTTCCCCTCACAACCAGTCTGGTAAAACATAGTTGTCTCTAGACCCTTGGCTCTCAACTGTTGGGTCGCGACCCTGTATTACGTGGGTCGTGACCCTGTGTTCAGCGGGACAGCAAAAAGTTTCCAGGCACACTCACTAGCCAGCATGCAAAAAAACCTGTCTAACCACTAAGGTTAAAAGCAGAGGTTTAGATACATGTCTTCTGCAGAAAATGTGAATCGTTTTCCTTACCTGTGTTCAGTGGGTCGCCGCATGCCTTCCACTTTTCTTGGGGAGAGGCTCCTCCGCCTCCCCCTAGCACAGCACTGTTAGTTCTCACACCAAGCAGCCATTCAAAATATGGTGCCCGGTGCCAAGTGTCAGCTTGAGGTGGGGTGGATTGTTCTATGGCTGCGAAGGACCTCTATATCTATATGTGCATTGCTTACAGCTCCTTCACAAGTCCTGTAGAGGTGCCTGGACTGGAGTGACATCACATTCTGGCTCCCCGACACTTCTACAGGACGCGCAAAGGAGCTGTACCAGCAATGCACATATGGACAGAGCTCCGTCACAGCACAGCAGCCCACACTGGACCCCAGACTGAGGATCCACTCCAGTTCTCATAAGATAGGGAGACTGGGAGGATCTAAGAAAAAAACAACATTTTCTTGGAGTGTGTATGTATGAGAATGTGTCTGTGGCTGTGTGTCTCTGTCAGTGTTTTTGAGGGCCCGTTCACACTAGTACTGTGTGTTAATCACACAGTCCCGTGCGATTAAAGCACTGTACCACGCAAAATCGAACCTACTGTGAATTCTGGTGTGGGAGGTGTGTTGCAATGCCATTCATTTGAATGGCACCCCAAACGCACCTCCCACCCACAGTTCCATCGCCCGTACCGGAACATGCGGTACAGCAATGATGTGTTTTCCAGTGCGGTGCAACCTGGGTCATGACTTGATGACCAAGGACATATATGGGTCCTGAGGTTACACAGGTTGAGAACCACTGCTCTGTACCTTGGATAGCACTAAAAAAACTATTGGGGATTTAACCCTTCCTCACTCTATCCAAAACTAAGAAAAAAGTTTGGGCTGGAGATGCACTGTAAATAATTTAAAATGCAATTTAATTAAATTGATCAAGTTTGAATTTCATTATTCAAGTGCACCTGTGCCCACAAGCAACTTTTTAAAGTAACCAAGCTCTTTAATAGAGTCAGTCTCAAGCTTAGCGGTGTTTCCTATTTCCCAAAATGTTCCTTATCCACAGATACTCCTTTTGTTTACATGATGACAGCAACCAACTTTCCATCAGCCCTACGATCTGCAGTGCACACAAGCTTTCATGCTTGCTGTTATGACAGCAGAACGGGTTTTCATTCTCACCCTTCTGTCTGACAGCTTTGTTCAAATGTATGAGATAAGCAGGTTATAACGTGAGTTACAATAGGCTCAGATCTAGCTCATGTGTGGCATCTCAGCAGCCTGTCAGCGGTGATCTCTCTCCTTTGTCTGTCCCAATAGTTTTATGGAGCTGGACCTAAAGTCTGAATTTTTGTTTTTGTCTTTGAAGTGAAGCTCTGTAAAAGTTTTGGGACAAACAAAACGGGAGAGAGCTTGCAAGCTTCAGGAGTTCTAAGCAAACAATATGCCATTCATTCTATAGAATGAAAAAAAAAAAAAAGCTGGTAAGCATGTAGCTAAATCAGGTGACTTGTCAAAGTCATGTGACCAACTTCTCCTTCAATCATAGAGTTAGAGAGAACTTCATTAGACAATGCAGACTACACACATCTTATGAATGAGTCCAAAAAAATGATGCCATTATTTTATGAATGAGTCATAACATGCAGTCACAGTGTGTAGTAAACATTATGGTAATAACTCAAAGGTAATAGGCACTTTGTGGTGTCTGCTCATAAGTAGGTGTTTTAAATGAATGATAGGTTCACCTAAACAAGTTGGCTGTACAGCTGACAAGTACTCCCTCAATATGGAATTATTATTCCATATTTTAGCTTAAATATTGCAGTCACAACAATGTTAAGATACTTGTGTATGCCTTTGTAATTGTCATTTCTCAAAATCAACAAAGTTTTTCTTTTCGATGAGATGTGACTGTCAATTATTCCTGTCCTTTGAAATAGCAATGGGTACTAGAGCATGAAAATTAAAAACTTTAAACATATGTTCCCAGAGGTGTATGAACAGAATCTTAGTTTGGTGATGACTCAAATCACTTTCCAGTGCAAACTGTTTGAGTTGAATAAAAATAGTACTTAACACATAGGCCAAATGCATTTTTTTCAATATAATTTTATTGTTTCATAATACTTTGAAATAAAACCTTATTTTGAGCATTCAAACTGAGAATCTCTAACTGAAGAAAACACTCTATATGTAGTTCATATAGAGTACACATTCCCAATACACTGCAGGTGATAGATTTACAATTATCCTCGGCTAACATGAATAGGTTAAATGATCCATAGTACAACTACATGTTATGTACTATTATGTACTATGGATCATGTAACCTATTCATGTTAGCCAAGGATAACTGTAAATCTATTGCTCCAGTGTACTCTACATGTAGTACATGTACGTTACACACTGCCAATACACTGCAGCAATAGATTTACAATTATCCCCTGCTAATATGAATTGGTTAAAATGATCCATAGTACATAATATGTACTATGGATCATGTAACCTATTCATGTTAGCAGGGCAGAATTGTAACTATTGCTGCAGTGTATTGGCAGTGTGTAACGTACATGTACTACATGTAGAGTACACTGGAGCAATAGATTTACAGTTATCCTCGGCTAACATGAATAGGTTAAATCATGATCCATAGTACAACTACATGTTATGTACTATTATGTACTATGGATCATGTAACCTATTCATGTTAGCAGGGCAGAATTGTAACTATTGCTGCAGTGTATTGGCAGTGTGTAACGTACATGTACTACATGTAGAGTACACTGGAGCAATAGATTTACAGTTATCCTCGGCTAACATGAATAGGTTAAATGATCCCAGAGGCAGATGCATGATCGGATTTGTAGTTTCACGACAGCTGTGTGAAAGCAAATACAAAGGCTTTATTGTTCTAAAACAGTCTTAAGGGGGTTCTAAACCTTCTGGGGTTTTTTTGGCAAAAAGTTGTTTTCTTTTAAAACCCGCTTTAACAGCGGTTTAAAGTTACCTCGTTATCGCTGCTCGCTCCCGCGCCGAGAATCAGGAACTGCTCGTGTGGCCGCAAAGGTCCTTGGGGCGGGCGCATGCGCAGTTCGGATTCTCGGCCGGGAGACGAGCAGAGACGCAAGGTAAGTCTATGGACGCACCCGCATGCAGACACCGCTGGAGGGACAGAGGAGTCAGCGCTGGATCGGAGAGCCGCCGCACTGCTGGAGGGACAGATGAAAACATCAGGAAAGAAGAAGAAGATTGGAATAAGGAGACATCATTTAAGGTAAGTGCTAACATTAACACATTAACATGGGGGGGAGGGAATTTTTTTTTAACTTTAATGTCACTTTAAATTAACGTTCTTCATAATCATAAAGAAATTGGCCTAAAATCAGTCTGTATTGTTTTTTTTTAAATGTCACCTGTCCCTTGAAGAAAAAGTATCGGTAATTTGTATCGGCAAGTACATGAGGGGAAGTACTTGTACTTGGTCTTGAAAAAGTGGTATCGGGACAACCCCAATTCTAAATAAAAATTAGTTGACCACATATGAAAAAAATTCTAATATTGGTAAAGGTTATAAATAGACAATGAATTTTCAAAAGTAAGATCTGATTTCTGTTATGTTAAATTACTTGATTCTGACAGTGGTGCCAGAAAAGGCAGGCAGAGAGCACAGGAATAGTTACCAGTATTGCCTGTGGTCTCCCTGCAGCTAATCCTTTCCCATTACTGACTTGTCATGCCATTTTCCTGCACTGCGTCCTTGTGGAGGCAGCCAACTTGGTAGAAGCAGGGCTTTGCTTCCTCTCATGTCAAAACCTCCAGCACGGAGAACAGTGAGTAGCACAAAAGTGATATCACGAAATCTTACAACAATTTGTCTCAGAATAGCAGCAGAATAGCAGCAGAATAGCATGTCTGAGAATAGCAGCAAGAGGCAGTAGTGTCACAGATCCTATGCTGATATAGAACTATGCGGCTGTAGGCATAGAAGTGCATTGATATTTTTTTTTTCTAGAATACCAGACAAAAGGGTAAAAATAAGATGCTGCTTAGGCACAATTAACATTTCTAAATGTTCCCCATAACATAGCAAATTTTCACTTTAAGTTCAGGTCCACTTTTTATATTTTTATTCAAAAAAGGTACAGTTAAAAATGACATCTCTATAAACAATCTAACAAACCTAAGGATACATTTATTGCTTGTATTTTGTAGATTATGTTATTCACATCCATAAGACAAAAAGGAGTAAAAACTACACTTTAAAATGTGTGGTCTTTTGAGCTTGGATTTTTAGGTTAGATTTGGGCAACTTTTCAACACAAATTTACTGA